GCTTAATAAATGTTTACTGGATTGAACTGGATGAAAGAACACCAATTCCATTTACAAATAAGTTTATCTTTCCACGATTACCAAAACTATCTTACTAAGGCACTGACAACGACAAAGGCACTAGGATCATAAGCCTCAAAAACATTTAATAACATCCTATTGCTCACTGAATAAAATATACAAATTTCTGATATTTAAGGTCTTCTGGCTCTAATCTACCTTTCCAACCTTATTTTCTTTTTTGTTTTTCAGGAAGTACATGAATTTATTAATTGTATTATTTAAAAAAGTACCTCAAAAATTTGAGATTATACCCTATGAAATTAGATTTAAAACCACATTTCCTATTTTTTTAAACATTTTTATTTAAAGTTTTGAATTCCAAATTCTATCCCTTCTTCCCTCCTGCCTCCCTGAGAAGGTAAGCAATCAGACATAGGTTATACATGTGCAATTACATAAAACATTTTCATATTAGTCATTTTGTGTAAGAAGACTCGAATAAAAGAAAAAAATGAAAGAAAGTGAAAAATAGTATGCTTCAGTCTGTATTCAATCAATATTAGTTCTTTCTCTGGAGGCAGATACTATGCTTTATTACTAGTCCTTTGAGATTGTCTTAGAGATCATTGTATTGCTGAGAATAGCTAAGTCATTCACAATTCTTCACTTAACAATACTGCTGTTACTGTGTACAACACTCTCCTGGTTCTGTTCACTTCCCTATGCATCAGTTCAAGTAAGTCTTTCCAGGTTTTTCTAAAAATCACCCTGTTTGCCATTTCTTATAGCACAATAATATTCTGTTACAATCATATACCACAACTTGTTTAGCCATTCTCCAATTGACGGGCATCCCTTCAATTTCTAATTCTTAGCCACCACAAAGAGCTGCTATAAATATTTTTGTACAAATAGGTCCTTTCCCCCTTTCCTGGTTGTCTTTGGGATATAGACCTAGTAGTGATATTGCTGGATCAAAGGTACACACAGCTTTATAGCCCTTTAGGCATAGTTCCAAATTGTTCTCTAGAATAGTTGGATCAGTTCACAACTCTACCAACAATGCATTAGTGTCCCAATTTTCCCACATCCCTCCAACATCCAATATTTTCCTTTTTTGTCATATTAGCCACTCTGAGGTGGCACCTCAAAATTGTTTTAATTTGCATTTCTCTGATCAATGGTGATTTAGAGCATTTTTTTCATATGACTGTAGATAACTTTGATTTCTTCGTCTGAAAACTGCCTGTTCATATCCTTTGACCATTTATGAATTGGGGAATGACTTGTATTTCTATAAATTTGACTCAGTTCTCTATATTTGAGAAATGAGGTCTTTGTTAGAAATATTTGTTGCAAAAAATTTTTCCCTGCTTTCCTTGTAATTTTGCCAACCCTTATTTTCTATTCCTTCTTTTCACATACTCTACATTCTAGTCAAGTCAAACTACAAGCTGTCCTATCAACATTTTCTGAATCCTTCTCTTCTTTTCAGAGAGAGCTTAGTTACCAACTCTTCTATGAAGCCATGACTGGTCAACTGTGCTAAAAGTATTCTCTCCCTCCTCAAATTTTGCTTATCTATATACATATTTATATACAAATTACATACATATATGTTATATACATATATATATATATATAATTTGATACACAGACACACACATATACCCCTCTTCTCCTTCCCAGTCCCCTAAACCGATCCTAATATGAAATCATCTCTTATCTCCTCACCATCTTGACTGCTCTGTTGTAGACATGTAGCAGATTGTCAATGCCTTTCTCAAAACATTGTGCCAGAGCTAAAGACAAATACTCCAGCTGTGGGTTAAGGTTGAGTAGAATAGCGTCGCCCTGTAACTTCTCTTGTTCTGCATACTATGTTTCTGTTAATCCAGTACAAAAACACTCCAGCCTTTGGGGGTCTGCCATGTCACCCTGTCGACTCTTACTGAATTTGCAGTTTGATGTCTAGACATACTTCAACAGGACTGCAATGTGTGCAGGTTATCTTTTTAATCAAAAATACTTTGCATTTACCTTTTTCACATTTTGTATTTATTTATCCATGAGTATGTTGTTTCTTTCTAGGAGAATGTAATTTCCTTAATGGCAGAGACTATATTGTGTCTTGTCTTCCTGTACCACTATGTCTTACATCAAGTAGGAAGTCAATAAATGATTGTTGACTGAATTGAACTAACCTACGTGTAGGCCTTTTGTTTATTCCTAATACACTTCAGCTCATTAGATTTGACCCATAATTCTGGCCTGCAGAGATTTCTCTGGATCCTCACTATGATCCAAAACATTAGTCATCCCTCTCAGCTTCATGACACTTGCTACCCTGATAAGGGCACCCTACCCTCCATATCAGGATGAAGATCCTGATTGACAAAAATGAACAAGTTTTTTTTTTTGTTGTTTTTAATCACAAGCAGTTAGCCTTGGTTAGAGTCTGAAGAACTGTGCCACTGATTATGAAAATAACTAAGAGTGATAGCACTCAAGCTGCAAGCATTTATTAAACATTTACTTTGTGTATGAGAGACTGTGCTAAGTGTTGAGAAAGTAAAGAAAGGCAAAAACACAGTCCCTGCGCTAAAAAGCTCACATTCTAATGGCGCTGACAACATGCAAATAAGCATGTCTATACAAAATGAACACAGAGTACATTGGAGGAAATCTCAGAGAATAAAAACAAGCAACTGTAACACTAATGCATTTGTATGGAGTGCCACAGTTTACAAAGTATTTTAACATGCATTATCTCATTTGATACTCAACAAAAACTGTACGAGGGTAAAGTTATGAGCAAGCTGGAATACTGAGGGCTTGTAAGCTATAGTGAAAAGACTGATGGCCTTTGGGTCAGGAGGCCTGGGTTTAAATCCTGGCTGTAACACTTGGGAGTTCCGTGATTTGGGAAAATCATTTAAACTGTGAGTTTCAGTTTTACATCTTTAAAACGGGATTGATAAACTATGCACTAACCACCCCACACAACTGTTGTGGGAAAAGCATTTTTGCAAATTTTACCCTGTTGTATAAATGTGAGTTATTACCATTATGCCCCCTTTTTACTGGATTAGGAAACTGAGGCTCAGTAAAATTAAGTGACTTAGTCACTTCACATAATTAGCAATCATCTACTGATTCTCAGTCTAGTTTTCTGGAGTTCCACAACATACAAAAAGCAAAGGTTATCTTGGCAGAATTTCAAAGCAAAAACTTCCATAAAGTACAATGCTTATATCATATAGTACAGAATTTTATTCATTCAAAAAATATTCACTGAGCAACTAGTTTGGTATGATACTAAGACTATACATTATTGAAGACTTATTTTGTTGGAATGAGTGAAGTTATTTAACCTATCCCTCTGCTTCCCAGAATCACTGTACTTAAATTATCACAAATAGATCAGTAATAATTTAAAAATGCATCCTGGGATGGAGAGTCCACATCCATTAGAGAGGCAGCATGGATGAGTGAAAGGAGTGTCATACTTGAAGACAGGAGACCTAAGTTCAAGTCAGGGCTACAAAAATCATTAACTGTGAAATTATGACTCAGACTCTTAACCTCTCTGAGCTTCAGTTTCTTCATCCATAAAAAAAGGATAATACTTGTACCCTTTCATAGGGCTGTTATGAGAAAAGTACTCTATAACCTTCAAAGCACTATATTGATGTGAATTGTCATTATTATTACTGTCCTCCCTGAGTAACCTTTCTAAGAGCTTAAAATTCTTTTTGCTACAGTTTATACTCTTTTTCTCTCATTCTTTCCTCAGTTGATATAGAAAATAACTGATCAGCAACCTCTGTTGTAATAATCTGTCTTATTCTTGAAAACCATTATTAGATTGCCCCTTATCTTTCCTTTTTTTAATCTTTCCTCAGAGACACTATTTTTCAACACAGTCATTTTCTTTCCTATTCTCAGGGCTCACTCTAAGCTGATCACATAAAGCTTTGATCACTGCTAAGCATTATAGAAGGATTAAAAATCTCTAAATTTCGATTTTCTATTTGAGGTCTTCGATAACGCAAGGAAATCATAAAAAAGATCCCAAATATTCTTCTCCACCTGCCCAAGCACTACCAAACCCTAAAATTGTTTTTAGTGCAACTGCCTTATAAAGCTTAGCTTTTTCTTTTGAATTAAAATATACCACAAAACACATACTATGAATAGATATCCTTTGTGAAGATGATTTTTTTCTTCTTAAAAACTCATCATCACCTTATTTTATCCTCATTCAGTCATATTTTCCACATAAAACGTGATCTTTCTCCTTCACAAAGCTCCTGTAAAACTGCTCCTCCTTCCCTTTCAAAATGTACGCTCTTGTCAGAACACAAAATTAAACACCTCCAGTAGCATTATACAGTACAGCTGTGTCAGAAAATTAACTGAGTAAAACAGACATCTTGTTACTGCAGTTAACTGTTCCCTTCTCTGTTTTCATAATCATTTTAAAAGGTACTACCGTCTCCACTGCTTCATACAATATCAATGATTTCAGCTGAACTTTCTCTCTCTGTTCTTGAGACTCTATTCTGGAGATGAAAAAATGTCAAAGGGAAGAAAAAAAAATTTGATTTTCAGGTACTTGGAGAGTAGTGGAATTCAGAAAAGTCTTGTTTTCACTTTTATCTTCCTTTGCATCAAGGAGAACTTCACTTTGTGTCACAATCAAAAGCTGTAAGGAAAAGATTAAACGAACCTTCTGATTTGCAACCCACGAAATCCGTAAATATCCCCGAGTTATTTCAGATATTTTTTTTCTTTGTACTAGCAACACAGCAAGACCCAATGAAATCAGCAGGAGAATGTCCTACAAAACCTAAGAACTGATTCAGGTTGCTTGTTAGCTCTAACTATGCATGGACATTTTCAGAATGAATAATGAGATTCTGATAAAGTTGTTGTTCTTGGACAAGAGATAAAAATGATTTGTAAGAAAAAATCTTGACCAGAATGATAATTACCTTAAAGAAATACTGTATTCAGGATAAAACACACTTGTATACTGAACCCAGGCACCAGCTTCATCTTCCGTTTCCCTCTTTTTTATTTCTGTTATTGAAAACAATTTAAAGGATTCAAATCTTCTTACAGATACTTTTCGTAGGTGATCATCCAAATGTTTCTGCTTCAGAACCTTTGAGATAAAAATAAACAGGGAGTTCAAAGTAAATAAACCTATCCTCTAGTCAAGTGTTCAAAGACTAAGTACAATCGAGACGCATCAGGCAAAAAAACCCAAGTCAAAAATCAATCACAATAGCTAACTGGTTGAGAGTATTCACAGAATCTCAGCAGAATTTACCCCTGAGGAAAAAAAATCTGAATAAGGCAACATAAAAAAAAAAATAGCAGATCAAAACATTATTTACAGAAGTATTCCTGACCTAGAACGATCAAGATCTTCATCTTTGTGAAGCACTTTATCACAAACACAGAAAGAAAGGGCTAGAAGGTATTTGAGATCATTCTCTACCCCACACAGAAGAATGCTGAAGGTCATCTCAGAGCAGTATAAAAAAAAAAGTTACTTATAGATCCTTGGAGAAAAACATTCTAGAATTTCCCTTTTACAAATGGGCCATTCTAAAGTTTTGCTAAATAATTTTCACCTGAGGAAGAAACCATTACAAACCATTCAAAAGCATTCATTCCAAAGCAAAAATCAAATAGACCCCTCACAGAAAACTGATGGAAAACCAAACAGGTGTTCAATAGAAATAGGAAAGATCTTTGAGATAACAATTGTTTCATTCATTTCTTTTTGTATCTCCAGAGCCTAGGATAGGACCTTGCACATGTTAGAAATTTAATAAATGTTTAAGTGAACTGAAAAACATTTTCATAAATAAGGTAATACGGCAGATGTTATCCAAAGCAAATTAAATTTTTTTTCCAATACAAGATGACCTGTAGAAACTTAATCAACATTAACACCCAAATGAAAAGACAAAGATACAAAGTCACATTCAAAATAAATACATCAGAGACAAACTATACTTCCATCTATGCCGTAGATTTTATAGTTTATATTATAACCTTTGACCTGTACAATATATTGAAATTAAGTTACTTAATTTCAGTAATTAAATTACCTTGAATTGGGTCCAAAACAAATCTTATACCAAATTGTCCTGTAGAGAAAATCATGTCATGGGAAAGTTCCAATGTATAAAACATACAGAAATAAGATGATGCAGTAAGAATACAATATAAAACAGGATGTGTCAGTTTGGAAAGAAAGAGCATGGAAGTGTGGGAAAAGCAATTATACTATGAATTCTTTGATTACTGGCCCCTTGTCTGATATTTTTCACATGTGCTCACACACAGAGTGAAGAGATGTTCAATACATACTTCTTGATTAAATGCATTTTGAGTGAAAGATTAAGAGTCTCCAAACAAATCTGCCACATAATTTTAAGTATGAAGTGCTGAGGGGAAAGCCCTCTCTAACCCATACTCTTAGGCACCATGGTTCCCTTCCTTTTTGGCAAAAAGCAATTAGTCCTTCGCCTAGAATGCAAAAGTTTTCTCATGCCAAACATGTGGAAGCAGCCCAAAAAAAGGACACAGTGGAGTCTGAAGGGACAAGAGAGCACTTTGTTACATGGAGGTGAAAAACACACATCATCTAAGATCAAATATAAAAAGACCTCCCTATACGTCAATCAATAATTTATGCAATGAAACAGAGTGCTATATTTCACAGTGATGTTATGTGAATTCAAGTCATGGAATCCCAGAGTCTCCAAAGAATTTAAGTTGCAAAGGGTTGTAAAGCAGTTCATGTTGGATTGCAACATATTATCAAGGAGAGATTGAACAAAAGAAACAGCCCAGAGGATGTTATAGGAGAAATATGCAACATGAAAAGGAGGTGGCCCAGTCATAACTATGAGAATAAAGGATAACAGCATTCCTATATCTTCTAACAGCATCCACCACAACAGGAAGGCACCCAGTAACTGGATCAACTCCCTGAGGAGAATGTGTTGAAGCACAAGACAAGAAGTACAGAGGATGAGAAGTCATGGATGGGTTATGAAGGGAATAGCCATATCAGTGACATCCCACATCCACTGAAGTGTAAAAGCATAAATATTTATATGGTTCTACTACTTGTATCCTGAGAGAAAAAGAGTTTTCAGGACATCTGCTTTCAGAAGAAAATATCTTCGACCAGTTACTATATGAATAGCCCCAATCCAAGTCTCAGAGGCTCATTGTTTAGGTTTTGATGGCTTAGAATGAGGATAAATAGCAATTTTTTCTGTTGGCCAGAAACACATGAGGATCTTCTTCTCCCAGACTGATACCTGAATAATGGTAAATTGAGAAATCTTTTGTTTCAACTCTTACCTAGCCCCCTTGGTCATGGAATGGGCCTGGCCTCAGACAAACTAAGACCTGGGAAAGACCTTAATTTAGAAAAGCCAAGGTCACCCACTGCATCCTGGGCCATCTCCAGTCAACTTGACCTTTGTCTCGACACTGGACTTTGGTGACTCAGGAGGAGAGAGTGACACTGATGACTGTGCAGCTCTGCCTCATTTATATCTAGTGCACTCCAAAGTCAAGACGTCATCTTCTTGATGTCATTTGTCCTTTTCGAAGAACGAAGGACGACGAGGAACAACAACGACATTAACTTACTCTATTGCTGTCTTACAAAAGACATCTAATAAATATTGGTTGAATTGAAATTTTCATATCCTTAAATGCTAGTTTTTTTCAGATGAGCACAAAAGCAGTTTTTCACATTTGCTCCTTAAAAACATCAAATATTCATTAAGCTATGCAGATGAGCCATGTTGTTATTTCTTTTCTAACCTTAGAAAAAATCTGACAAATCTATTTAATGGTAGTGAAGATAAGAGCTCAGAAAGGTTGTAATACAACTGCTCCCTGTTTTTGTGTTGTCCTCCTACTGAAAGGTCCCCATGCATTGTTTTCTAAATAAATGAACCCTGGGAACCCATAAGGATGCCAAGACTCAAGAAAGCTAACAGGAAACCATTACTAAGTAAAGCAGCAAGGGTAGGGAATGAAAGACAAATAAACAGTGATCCAGAGCTATGGCCTAAACGAGCTGATTTCTCCTTCATGGACAATGAATATGGATACTCCTGGACTTAAGAATGGTGTCCATAATATTACAGCCTCATTCTTTGAGCTACCATCCCAACCCCTATAAAGATTACATTGATTTTTAACAAAGCTTTTTAATTCAACTCCTCTGTAATTTTTTTGCTTGTTATTTTAGTTTCAATTACTAACAATTGAGAAGACTTTAATTAAACTCTGGCTACATTTAATATTCTCACAAATATTTGTTTTTACAATATGCAATTTAAACATAACTTCTCTCTTTTAAATTCAAAAAGATACAACTCAGTGATATACACCTACCACACTTGTATTACCATAATCAACACCAAAAAATTTCTAAGTACCTACAAAGAAACAGCAATCTATTGGTACAAGTAAAATGACAAGTGAATGGAAGTTGTAGATTTCAATTCAACAAATGGAAGAATTTATAACTATTTATATAAACATTCTATAATCATTTATATAGACAGTTCCAATGAACCATCCAGCAATGGAGTAGGCTGCCTTGCAAAGTAGTTAGTTCCCTATCACTGATCATGTTCAAATATAGTCTATGTAGAATGCAAGCTCCTTAAAAGCAGGGATTTTTTTTTCCTTGTAGCCCCTGAACCTAATACACTACCTGGCACATACTAGGTTGTTAACAAATGCTTACTAATTGATTGGTTATATTGATACTAATTAATATGATTATATCTCTGACTATAATTATTTCAATAAAATTTCAATATTAGATGAAATGACATTGTTACAGACATCTCAAATTCCACATATTCAAAACAGACAGAACTCATTAATCTTTTCCCTAAAACTGACCCCTCTTCTGAACTTCCCTGTCTCTATAGAGGGCAACACCATCCTTCTAGTCTCCCAGATTTATAACGTCAGCATTAATTACCCTTGACTCCTCATTATCCTACATTCCACACATCCAATCAGTTGCCAAACCTTGCCATTTCTATGTGAGGTATTTCTATATATTTCTGTATGAGGTAGGGGACCCTTTCTCTGAGCCACACTAAACATAGCTGCCAAAGTGATTCTCCTTAAGCACAGAACATATCCCCTACTCAATAAATTCTAGTGGTTCCCTTTTGCCTCTAGGATGAAATATAAACTTTTTTGATTGGCTTTTAAACCCTTTACAATTTGGCACAAAGCCTCATATTTCTTTACTTTATAAATAATTCCTCTTTCCTTATTCTACACAAGTCAAATTGAACTTCTTGCTATTCCTCATACAGTCCTTGATGTTTTCACTTGGAGCCTTTGCACTGACTATCCCACTGGCTGGAATGTACTTTCTACTCACCTTGCAGAATTCTTTACTTTCTTCAAGACAGCTCAAATACCACTTTCTACATGATGCCCTTCTTAAGCCCTGGCAAGGGCTAGTGTCCTTCCTCCTAAAACTACTTATATTTATTTTGCATTTTTCTGTATACATGTATGTGTTTATGTATATTTGTATACATATGTGTACATGTTGCTTCCCCCAATAGCAGCTTGAGTGAGGAAACTGCCAACAATCATGACTTCAATCTGACTTGTTCTAACATCATTAATTCCAAATAAAGGGAAAGGTGGCAAAGACAAAGATATTAATGATGATTACCACCATTTCCTACAAAAGTTTTAACGATGTAGAAAAATCCCAATCAGGAAACCACCTTAGTCACAAACACTTAAATCTATTATAATTCTCATCATCAATGACAAGGAGACCAACGTATCGGCACTAACATGTCAGTCTCCAGTAGCCTAAACGACAAAGTAGAAATGGTGTTTAAGTTGAAGTTAAGAGAAATGATTAAACTATTATACATCAAGAAAGTGCATATATGGAACAGGCCAATCTTGAAAGCAAGGGAAGATACCAGAAGAATAGAAAAAAATCACAGATGACATTATTACTCAAAAATGATCAAAAGGGTATTGTAACTACCATATGCCTACTTTATCTTTATGAAATCTTTATAAGAATAACATACACAAATACATATATACATACTATATATGTAC